GTCGTAGACCTTGCCAAGGGAGACCACTTCAGGTTGCCCATAGGGAAATGTTTAGCGACCTCCCTACAGCCAGGTCGGATCAATCAGGCGTTATTTGGAGCATAGCAAGTCAAGGCATAGTTGTGAAGTTCTCAAGGTTCGATTCTCAAACCTTAAAAACTAGGGGACTTCTGTTATGCCTAAAAAAGTAGGTTTGACATATAGTCTTGTCAAAATGGGGTGGTCAGAACTTAGGAAGGTTCCGCAACCGTTTAGACGCGACCACGTCTCATGATGACATGAGTAGCATGCCCCTGTCAGTGCAGTGGCTGAATGCCAGGTCAGCGAATGGTTAGAAACCGTCCACGTGTCCAATCCCTGCACAAGTCGAGGAAATCACTCGAGCAGGTGAGGAATGGGACGTAGAGAAGGATTTGCATGGTATCCACCCCATTTGCAGATTTAGTAATCATTACCTTGATTCATCCCACTATAAATAGAGGTCTTCTCTCTCATTTGTGGGATTGGCTAATTTCACTGTGGAATAACATACTCTCTCTCTCTCTCACTCTCTTGTATTCTCTAAACTATAACTCAGTTCACTGAATGCGACCTGACTTTAGTCTTATTGATACAATATCAATGGACGTAGATTCGCCTTTTGAGCATCCGAACCACTTTAAACATTATTCTTCACCCTTTACTAAAATAAATACTTTCATAATCACATGTGACTTCTAAGCCCACTTAGTATTTCTCACGTGCGAATAGTTGGTGTCAAAATCAAGCATCAACAAAAAGAATGCAACTTATTATGCCATTTGTATTAGCATGGACATAAACAAACAAAATTCATACTCTTATAGTCATTAACAATCTTGATCCCACTAAAATTTATATTGACCCCACTAAAACTATCTATATTTTATTGAGCCCACTAAGATATTTTCATATTTTATTGATCTCAGGATTCCAAATACTCATATTTTTTCTTCACGTTTTCTCTTTTCTTCTCTCATACTTTCTCCTTCCTTTATAAGTTTGAAGAAGTGATATTCTGGTGATTGTAGGTACAATAGGTGTAGTATTTGAAGAGATGTATATTTTAAAGGGGAATATTGGACAAAACAGGAATTGTTGATCTAAAGAGATGTTTAGTTTAAGGGGGAATATTGGACAGAGCTTACAACCTGGATCCTGGGTTACATTTATAAAACTAGAAAGTTATAGGAGTGTGTTTGTTAACATGGTCTAGGTTAAATTGTGAAAAACAAGAAGCTATGTAAAACGCACCGTTTTATGTTTTAAGAAACTATAAAAATGTAGTTGTCTTCTCTTCTAAATCAATTAATGAAATACCCAAATTTTCTGCATTTTAAGTTCTCTTCTTCGAGTGTTTTACATTCTTGATTCTCTTGAAATTACTTTCATGGTATCAAAGCCTAGAAAAATGTCCATGGCTAATTCGAATTATGAGCTGTTAAATTCTGGTTCGAAATCTGAAATTGAACAAGCTGGCTTTGCAAACTCAACAAGCTCAACTACTTACTCATCTCTTTCAACACTCAATATAAAGTTAGTAGAGAAGAATTACATTTATTGGCACTCACAAATTTTACCAGCCCTTGCCTTTTATGAGCTTGATGGATTCATTATTGGTGAATCCACTTGTCCTTCTGTGTTTCAATTTGAGAAGTCAACAGAATATGAGCAGTTAATGAAGAAACCAAACCCTAGCTATTTTAGTCGGAAATGAACTGATCAATTTCTTGTGAGCCGGTTAATTTTATCAATTTCAGAGTCTATGTTTAGACATGTAGCTAAATGTACAAGTTTCTATGAAATATGGAACACACTGGAGCTACATTTTCAGTCTTTTTTGAAAGCGAGAACTTTGCATTTGAGGAATCTGTTACATACTACAAAAAAAGAGTCTTAACTATTAATGAATATGTTTTGCAAATGAAAGACTTGGGTTATGAATTGATAGCAAGTGGTGTACAAATTGAAGAAGAAGAGTTGCTCTTATACATACTGGTTGGTCTAGGACCGGAGTATGATACAGTGGTAGCTAATCTGACCTTTAATAGTAGTCGTGCAACTCTCTAAAAGGCTCGATTTGTCCTTCATAAACATGAGATGCACTTAGAAAGACAAAACAATGCTTTGTCAAACCTTCACGATCACTTGGCCTCTGTGTTACTAACATCTAAGTAAAGTCCCTTTGATAATTTATCTTAGCCGTTGAACTCTTTACGAGTTATGTTTTAGAATTCTCATGCTACAGTTCAACCAGGATTGTCTCAATATCATCAAACTAGGTCTTATTCTTCGAATACCTTGCCTGGTGGTGCTTCAACTGCTATGATTCCTCATTTTACATTAGGATCTCCTGAGTTTGGAAGTTCAGAGAATTTATGAGGTATTATTTGATCTCAACATATAGTTGCCTCTCAATTCTTTACTCCTAGTACTCCTTTGTTCAACGTAAATATGATAAAAGGCAGAGGTAGAGGAAGAGACTACTTAGGCCAAAGCTATTTTGTCAAGTTTGTGGGAAGACATGCCATTAAGTTCTACGATGTTATCATCGATTTGATCATGAGTATCAAGGTTTTAAAACTCCTGGTTATAACCCCTCAGTTCCTATATCAACCTATACTCCCTCAGGTTCAACTACAAATGAATATACACATGCACTGTTTGCTGCTAATTTTGTACTTTTAGGACAACCTCAATAGTCAAGATAGGTGAGCTATCGGTGGACAAGCTTGTCCACCTGTGTAGATTAAAGAAGAGTCAAGACCAGATATATTACCTCTCCAAAGCGAGGAAAACGTGTCTTAATGGTTTGGTCGGAGTCCTAAAAAAGTTGGGAAATTGGGATTCCCAATATTTCTTTTATGAAACTGGGGAGACCGACAGTTTTGCCTCGGATGCTAGTAAGTATTCTAGTCTTCGTACAAAACTAAAGGTTTTTTAGTCAGACAACCGAGCTAACCCAACATTTTCTTTGTCTTACAGTAAACGTCGACCAGAACTTTGCCACCGTAGAGAACCGATAGCGGCTCTAACGTTTTAGCGAGCTTCCTGGTAGTGAGCACGACATCACCCAAATCATTACACTTCCTCACCTACAAGCGTACGATTTTTGCAACGACCCTGCAAAATTTTACACTATTTTTTAGAAAGGTAAGTGTTCAAAGCTCGTTTTTTACGTCTTTCCTTTAGTAGGTTGCTTATAATTCTGTTTCTTTTGCAGATATATGGGCCGACAAGCCGAAGCACCTAAAAAGAAGGATGACAACTCGCAGAGCTGCCAAGAACCAGCGGATAATTTCAGTGAAGAAGCAGCTCGCAGGTCTTGCTAGGGTGATTGGGGCAGGTTCTTTGCGGTCAGCCCCAAGTGAGTTGGTGGAGAGCTTGGGGGGCCCAAGTTCTAAAAAGCTCGCAACTGCTTTCAAAACAGTTGCCAAACAAGATGTACTTGAGCTCCACAATGGCTTGATGAATAAACAAATCGAGCCAGTGGGAGGCTCGGGGAAGAAAAACTCTATTTGTAAGAAAGTTTGTATTGATGTGGCATGCCACGTTACTTGATACTCTAAAACTTAAAATAACTTTTTTTATTTCAAACCCAAAATTCCCAATTTGTCGATAACCCTAAGGGGGCGTTTGGTTGGGGGTTAAGTGGGATTACTAGGGTAATATCATCTTATATTACTTAATTACCATATTTGGTTGTCAAGTAATATAAGATACCGGTAATCTTCAAATATCAATAGTAGTTACTATTGGTAATATCTGAGGTAATCTGATTATCTTCATTTTCTTAGGTATTCTAAGATTACCAGGGTTATCTTTTTTTGTTACAATTTTATCCCTTATTAAAAAAAAATTTTGGACAATAATACCCCTACTTTAAAACAAATTTACATTAATATCCTATTTCAATTTTACCCTTGTTTAATTAAAATTTTGGACAATAATGCCCTTATATTTAAAATTATTTACAGATCACCACTGCCACCCAGCCACCACCACCACTGCCACCCAGCCACCACCGCCAACAGTGGGCCAACCACCACGGACCACCGCGGGAAAATCGTCGGAGTCCCTAAAAAAGAAGAAAATTCTGTGGAAGGCTCCGGGAGGCTTCGCCATAGCCGTTTTCGGCCATCAATAAGGCTCCGAGAGGCTTCGCTATAGCCGTTTCTGGCCATATTGATGGCCGAAAACGGTCATATCAGGCCAGATCTGGCCGGAATAGATCTGGCCATTAACAGCCAGGTCTGTGGCCATTAACGGCCAGATCTGGTCCAGATCTGGCCGATAATGGCCAGGGATCTGGCCTGATATAGCCGTTTTCGACCATCAATATGGCGGGAAACGGCCATATCGAAGCCTCCCACAGAATTTTCTTCTTTTTTAGGGACTCCGGTGGGACTCCGGCGGTGGTTCGCGGTGGCGGCGGGAGGTGGGGGTGATTTTATCATAAATTAAAGTTTTATATAAGCGGGGGTGTTTTAGCTAAATCTGAAATATTAGGGGTTAAAAGAAATTATTCAAAAATTAATAATAAAAATAATATTATATTAATATTTAAAATGAGGACAATTTAGTAATTTAAATAATATACCCACCAATTTATTCCCCATAACCAAACCTATTAATATAACATACTCACCAACTAACCAAACATATTTTCTTAAAGATTCCCAGTAATTTTCCAATATAATCTATCTTTCCAGTAATCTAACATTCTTGAGCCAAACGCCCCCTAAATGAAATTCCCTCGTCAAATTCTCTCCCAAATTTTACAAACTAACCATCAAAATTTGTAATTCCCCTAATAAAATCTCTCCGTCAAAATTTGAAACCCTAACCACCCCAGCGGACGACCGCTACCAGCCGCACCTTTCAACGAGAGCGCTTACAGATAAAAAAGTAATAATAATAATATAATAATAAATAAATAAATTAAAATTAAAAATTAAAAAAAAAAAAAAAAAAAGAAGAAGAAGAGGAGCTTCCGTTCGATAAGAAATCAGTCTGTTAAAATTCGTGGTGTGAGGTTGTCTCTATATTTTTGCCAGTAAAGTAGTGACTTTTGAACAGGTAATGCAAGGAAGAATGGATTTTGATGAGTGTAGAGTTGGGGATATACCGACTGTCATGTACGTTCCCGGCTTCATGTCCACCACTGAAGAAACTCACCTCCTTAACAATGTAAGCATCTCCATGTAGTAGCCATTATTTTCTTTCATTTTTCTTTGTTTTTTTCATTGATAATTTAACTTTTTCATGTCTTTAGATATATGGAGCTCCTGTGTCAAAGTGGAAGTCTTTGAAAAGCAGGAGATTACAGAATTGGGGTATGTTCCATATTCACATTGCTTCTCTTTTTTTATTTTTTTATTTTCTCTATAATCTCTTAAAAGCTGTAATTTTTACTAATTTGCTTTCTGCTTATGGATGATAACAGGTGGTGTTGTCCACGAAAAGGGTCTACTGCCTCAAGATTGTAAGATTTAAATGAAAGTTGCTTAAATATTTATCAATTTTGCTTCATTCTTTTATCTATTCAAAATATTCCTCATCTTGCATCAATATTTGATATAGCTTTCCTTATTTCAATTTTAATTTGGGGTATGCATAATCCTCAAAATTTAACCCATAAACTTTCCCAACTGCCAACACTGTAGAACTTAGTAGATGCAAGTTAAGCCAGAGCAAAAGTGGGTGATTCATTCCTTAGCAGGGAGTGATAGGGTGATAATCTTAAGATGCTGTAGACTAAAATTACTATTCACTAATCAAGCAGTCATTCATGGTTGGTAGTCAGGTGATTATACATTGAGTTAGCCATGGCATGTTGCTCACTGCTTATCTAATTTTCCTCTTGTGGATACTACTTCTGTGAATGTAAAAGTAATTGTCTTCCTCTCTCTTGTAGTGCCTCCTTGGCTAACAAAGATCACACAACGAATACATGAAAAATCAGGGCTGTTTCCCTCTGCAATCAATCACATTCTCACCAATGAATACCTTCCAAACCAAGGAATAATGGTTTGCACTGAGCTCTCCTATAATCTTATTTCATTCATTCTTTGATGTCAGTTATGATAATATGACATTATTATTTTCTGGTTATGTTGAATTTTTGATCTGGGCATGAGTTCCTTATCAACATTATTGTCATTACAGCCACATCAGGATGGACCTGCATATTTTCCGGTGGTAGCAATATTGTCTCTTGGATCACCTGTTGTGATGGATTTCACTCATTCAAAATTTAGATTAAGCACAAGCGCATTGAAGAACACTGTTGACGACAAGAATTCTAATGGAGAAGTTTTTGAGACAGATCAGTGGAAGGATAATCACCATCCCTTCTCTGTCTTATTGATGCCTTGCAGTTTATTGATCTTCAAGGACGATGCATACTCAGGCAAGTATATAACTCATGGTTGGATGGGGATTTAGGATAATGCCCGTCCTGAAAATTTGACGACACTGTTTGGTTTGCAGATTACTTGCATGGTATTAAAGATAATGATGTACAAGAATATGGTGGGGTAAGACTAATACATTGGATGGATGAATTTAAAATATGATATCTATTAAGTTAACTTGTGTTTCTGAATGATTTGGCATGTCCCCTTCTTCTTTTTTTTTTTTTTTTTTTTTTTTCTCGTGTCCTTTTTCAGGTAGTAAATGTGAATGAAATTGTAGCATTGACAGCTCAAGAAGTTGGTTTGCCATTAGCAAGCTCAGAAAAGGCTGTTGAAGTGATGAGAGATGAAGACGCCAAGATTATTACTAGAACTAAGACAAGAGTTTCATTAACGTGTCGATTGGTCTTGAAGGTTCACAAAAATCTGTTCAAGTTTTAGAATTCTCACAGTTGTACTTTGTTTCTGTAGTCTAACAAGTTCATAACTGTTTCGAGCATTCACTTGAAATATTTAGCCAGTGCCTATTAGTTACTTAGAAGAAAGATGTACTTGAGTGAAAGTAGCAGGACTTTAGATGTCTTAAACATTGCATAAGCACCAATGGCAGCAGCAAACCTCAGATCCTGTAATATTTATGTTTTACACAATATGACTATTCATTCTCTTTCAAGTTTATTTTATGTATTAAACAATGTAGCAATGGCACACATAATTCTATTGTTTTAAATATAGCCAGACTGCTTGTATATGTTCCATGAAATATAAGGTAACATATGTCCAGAAGGACCAGAGCTAGACGATAATACAAAATGCTTACATAATATAACAAGTAGTGTTTTCTGGAACCAGAAATCTGGCCAGTGAATCTCATGATTTATATTTTATGAGTGCAAAATCACCCTTATAAGCATAACATAACATTCACGGACTGAAGCATCCATCCAAAACAACATTGAGACTTCATTCATTAACTTGCCACCAACAATAAAAATGTACTAATCTGACAAATTTCCACCACTAAGCATCCATCTCCACAAAAGGCTATACCGGATGGATAATAGCCAATAAAATGCAGCATTGAAGCTGCAACTGCAGAACACACTGCACAAAACAGCCAAACTGCTTAACAAAACCCTGCACAACCAGCCAAACTCCCCTGAATGAACCACAAATCTGCTGCTGCAGCTCCAGGCTACTCCAGAATTCTGCTGCAGCAGCTCCAAACAGACTTCTGGGAACTGGAAAAATGCAGTTTTCTGCTGCTGCATCTGGAAACAAAGCTCTCCTGAATCCTTTGTTTGGCCATGCACCAAATCCAGCCACTGCAATACAACAACCAACATACCCAAACAGCCAGAACACCTCGAGGGCAGACCCAAGCTGCAAATCCAACACACAAAAAACTGCACTTACTGTGAAAATCTCCTGGAAACGGCAAGAAGCTACAACTCCAAAAATCTGCAATTTCCCGATACTGCATAAAACAAAAAAAAAAACACAAAAACAGGTCCACACTTCACTTGAAGCAAACAAGCACTACACCAAAAATACTCCTGGAATCTGCCCACAGTGCAACAATCTAGCTGCAGCACCAGAGAAGTCAGGATCAAAATTCAGCTGCACCAAAAAAATTCTGCATTTTCTCCAAATCCAGCCAATATGCAAATTTAAATTCAACAATATTTGAAATTTCAATCACTATTCAACAGCCAAAATACAAATAGAGCTAGTACATGAGAAATCACCGTAATACAATGTAAGAGGTAAAATGAAACCACATTACTCATGTAACAGCCATATTAGTCCTAAACAAACTACAAGAGGCACACATGCTTCGATATCCAGCAATCCTGCAAATATATAACCCAAGCCGTGTTATTTATCAGTAAATGGAATAAAAATAGTAAAATAGTCAACAAAATGGATAATTACTAAGTTTTTACCTTCAAACTTTATCCTCATTTTCTTGCTTTTGCAATTTCTTCTCTTTTACTTTACGAACAATTTGTTCAACCTTTGATTACTTTCTTTTCAATGAAGGACGACCTTTGCTGCGAATAGCTCGTGGAGTAAGAATATGAAACAATATTTGAAAAATTTTTGGGTTTGAAAGAGAGTTTGTAAAATCATAATGTGCGAAAGATAACCTAATTCTCAATAAGCTATATGCTATTAGTATTGACTTAGGAGTATGCAAATTGATTTAATTTTGAAATTCCATAGCTAGATCAACTTGTAAAGTTCAAGAAGACGCTTGCATTTTGAGTCTCAGTTAACTTTCTTCCCAAGCGAGGAGGAGCTGGACGCTTCAGTGGACGTTTGACTACTTCTGCACCTCTACAACACATACAAATGAAGTAGCTGTGAGGCGTAGTTCTTAAACAAAACAAACAAATTTAAAGGTAAATAGGAGAAAACAACAGTTGAACAGAGCTTAATACTAATAATTCCCATGAATATAACCAGATTATCGATTTCATGAAAAACACCGAAACTGCACACCTCCTTTGTAGACAATAAGTTTTACAATACATAAAGAGCTATTAACCTATCTTCAGCAGTATACATATTGGATAAACTTGTTTTCCCAATTGCATACATTACATGATTTATTATGCAAATGTATAGATAACATAGTACAGGGCACTCACCCAAGATTTTTACAAAGCTAAAATCCTATAACTTCATAGACATTCTTCTAAAGTTAATGTTCTAACCAAAAAAAACCTGTGCAAACTATCAACCAATATCAAAATCCAAGCAGCAATATTCAAATCACAGGAAAAATAAACATAAGAACAAAATTAGGAACATGTTACATGTATTGTTACAAACGATTTTCCAGCTTTTTTGCGCGGCTCATCCATGTAGTTTCCTATTCTATCAAATCCTAAGTTTTGGAAGTAAACACAATCAGAAATTAACTCACTAACCCAGCCAACAAAAACAAACAGCAAACATAATAGGGCAAACATTATTATAAATTCCTGTTTTTTATACATGAATCAATGAACAAAAACACCATAATAAAACCATTTTCAAGAAAAAAAATTACCTTCATGCGGTGCTGGGGACGTCGGCCGTTCAGGGTGTTGGAGCCGTTGAGGGTGGTGGTCCCGCGGTAGGATTTGTGTATCCACAAACTGGGAATTTTAGGTTTGAATTTTTATTTTAATGTTGAGGGTATTAAGTAACGTGGCCCACATGCCACGTGAATATCATGCCACATGGATTGCCACGTCAGTCTGCACAATGTCAAAGATATTTGTGCTTTAGACTTTTTTTCCTCTTTGGGCCCCACAGAGATACTTTTGTTAGAAACCTTTTTCCTCTTTAGGCCCCGAGATATTTTTTTTATATATAAACCTGCTTTTCCTCTTTGGGCCTCATTATATGAGACTTTCTTCTCTTTACATCATTTCAAACAATTTCAGTATCACTTGTAGCCACAACTGACTTCACGTTTCTCTCTCTGTTGTAATTATTTCTCTCTCTGTCGTCCGTGAAAGACTCGAAGAAGAGAAGTGAAAGGAAGGCTATACATTATCAGAAAAAGTGTAGCCATGCTCCTTTGCTGGCATGAACAGTGAAGCAATAAAAAAAAAATTTAAGCTCTATTAAGAATTACCTGTTTCTTCTTCCGAAGGTAAATAGCAAAGAGAATTAATTAATTAATAAAATTTATTAACTCTCCTCTCTGCATGATCTTATTGTCACCTTGAGCTTGTTGTGTACATGGAAATTACAAATAAGAGGTAAATGCCTGATTTCAGGTTTACATGAATTTCTACGTCATTTTAATGTTAATAGTTATGAGCATTATTATTCAAACATAAAATTAATTAAATACATCAGAAAAATGGTTTTGAAATTGGATTCCTGCATATATACATATGTATGAGAGACTATATTTGGTTTTATTTAATCAAAATAGTCTATCACCACATTTATTTTGTTTTGTTTTTCTAGAATTGAAAGAAGAAAGCAAGATGATGAATGCCAAAATTATTGCTCGAAGTCACTTGCATGAGTGCTTTACCCTGATCTTGTTCTACTTCAGCCTTGTAAATCCTAATTGTGCTCCTATATAGTTATCTCCATTCTTTGAATCATGATATTGTTCTTCATGATCTCGACAATCTTCAACTTCCCAATCGGATCGATATAACTCATCCAATCAAGATGCCTAACCTCTAGTTGAGGTTCATCATCTTCAAAGAATCTAATGATTTCTTCTTAAATAAAAAACATCTTCAATTTCATGGTTACATAATCTGATCATGATTGCTTCATCTTAAACGAAGATATACAATTTTTTTTTTTTCTTTTTTTTGTTGAATTACAATATTTTGATATCCCACAACCTCTAAGGCTTCAGATGAATCTTCAACACCTCTTTTGTGTACAACTTCGAAAGCTTTAGTTAAATCTTCAACACCTCCTTTGTAGATTTTCATTAGAATGTCTCATACATTTTTTTTTTTTTTTCATTTTATGTATTTCTTGATGTTTTTATGTAGGCAATCTCCTCAGAAACACCTCCTTTGTAGATTTTCATTAGATTTTGCTTGTTTTGCTAATATCACCATTTGAACCTCCGGTCTCTTTTATACAAAATCCCTCTCACTCTGGCACCTGATTTCTTGCCAATTGTCAGTCATCGCAAAACTAACGTTTCCTATTCTTAGCTGAGTTTTGGTTGATTCTAACAATGAATATTTAATCGGTTACCATTATTCGATCCACTGGCCTCAACTCTACAAAACCCCCCTTACCCTGACTCCTGATAACCAACACTTTCCCACCTAAGTTTCAAAATACCACTTTCCCACCTAAAGTTTATATTCTGTTAACACCCAAGATACACTTCACTTTCTCAACTGGCGTTTGACAAGTTACTAAGAGCCAGGGTGAGAGGGGTTTGGTACAGTGGAGGCCGGTGGATTGAATGATGGTGATTTATTGAATATTCGTCGCCAGTATCAACCAGAAATCAGCAAAGAACATGCAATCTTAGCTTTGCAGTGGTCGACAATCGGTGAGAAATTAAGTGTTGGAGTGAGAGAGATTTTGTAGAGAGGAGACTGAACGTTCAAATGGTTGTGACAGCGACAATCGGCCAGAATCAGCTTTGGGTAGCAACAAAATATTAATTTTGGGTGAAAAAGTGGTATTTTGAAACTTTTAGGGTGGAAAAGTATCATTAAGGCAAACATTGGGTGGGAAAAGTCGTTTACTCATTACTTATATATATTGGGTTGATTGAATGCATCTTAAATTATCATATGAAATATCTTCATCACGTGTGAATCTTGAATATGAAAATCTAGCATTCATAAAATGAAAACCCACAAACATTTGTCTTTTCCACCACAACAATAATTGAAATGTGACAACTTTCATATATACACATGTACTATCTATCGATCTCTCATTTATATTGTAGCCAATAAACATGTCGTTGTATATTGGTTAATAGGATACAACCCCAAATTCAATGTGATATATTTGAGAAAAGATGGAGTGGCGCCTATTCATCGTCTTCACAAAAGCTTACGACAAAAATAAATGGAGTCCTTTTTGTTGTTTTTCCTTTTGGTTTATCAAATGTTTGGAATGGGCTATTTTTGAGAACGACTCTAGAATTGATATAATATAATATGCATTGACAGACTGGTGTTATCATCACATCACAAGTACTCTCTTTATAGTGGCATATATAACTAATTAAGTATTGAAATTCATAAGAGATTTCCAATCTTGGCTGCCACAGCAGTACGGGAAATTCCCAGCATTTACGTACAAATTACAAAGGGAGACAGTTGATTTCTCTCACACTATACACATATCAAATCAAGAGATATAACATGTTAGGTGCGGAAGCAGCTTTGATACAGTTGTTGGGCGTGAAAGCAATATGCTTTGATATTACAATCATACGGATGATATTCAATTTTAGAGTGGTATGAGTGTTAATTAACTTTAGGTCCATGCGAGCTCTACACAGGAGCTCAATTTTGTACTATAATAATGATTATACAAATAATCAAGACGGATCAACATTTCCCCGAAAGACTAATATTAGTTTTATTCACTTTCTTTACTTATTTTTTTTACTAATCTGTGTTAAAATGTTAACTTTATTTACTTCTTTATTGTGTTTAACAAAAATGAATAAGAAAAATGGATAAGGAGAATGATTAAGGCTAACATTACTTCTCTCGAAGTTTACCCTAAAAACAATTTCGTACTTACAAAATTTGAAAACTACGATTACCCACCATATAATGTATGAGGCTTAAATATAAGTAGTAATGAGTTTATTAGTAGATGGATGATGTGAATGAAAAGAAAGGCGATTACATCATGTTTAAAGGGCGCTACTTTTAGGCCTGAGTAAATGAATGAAACGTTTATCCAAGAGTACACATATGAATATGAGCCACATTCACCCGTTTTTTCCTTTATCGTACATTCATATCCTGTAGCCCTTTGAAAGCAACACCAGAGCTACCA